TATTTAAATATCTTATTATACATCGAGGGGGTCCTCTCTATGGAGGCCGCCATGTTTTTAACATTAGTCCAGACTGGACAAACTAAACACCTTTTGAGTTTTTTGAGTTACCACAAGTTCTCTTTCATGTTTGGAAGGGGAGAGTGAGGTGAGGGGTGTTCAGCTGCAACATGCAATTTCAACACTAGATATCACAACATTCTACACACTGTACCTTTAAGCATTGAGACACCACCATCTCAATGCTTCCCTGATAAATTTTGAGGTGGATGTCAAATATAAAACATTCCTGTCACAGCTAGGGGGCGCTGTGATTACTGTAGAATATTTGCATAAAGATGTGTTCAGGGTGGGACCTTTATCATGCATATTAATTATTGACAGTGATTGGATTAAAAACATAGAAGTTACAGCTACTTGAAGTTCCATGGCGAGACATTTTTTTTTACTGCTATGCCATGGACATGCCCCCTGATGAAAAGTTTCATTGTATGGCATCACCAACTCCCATAGGCTCTCCTAACTACATTTCAAATGCATCAGGTAAACCAGAAAGATGGAGCACACCAAAATGTAAAACATGGCATTTCCTTTTACAGTGAGGGGGCGCTATAACATGCTTGTTGTATATGTGAAATGTGAGACATATTAGACAATATACAGTACATGGACATTATAAGCACTCTTTTTGAAATTCCCCGCCACGACAAGGCCATACCCCCTGATGACAACTCATTGAAAATATAACTTTTTATCAAAGAGTCCCTAACATGACATACAGTATATTAAATGTGAAGTTGATCGGATGAAATCTGTAGGAGTAGGATTTAGTTTGTGTAATGTGTGAAAACGCAAAAAATTGCACTAAATTGGCATATTTAATCCAAAATGTCCGACTTCCTGCTGATTTGTGTTATTGAGCAATTTTTGGACGCATGTTCTCAAGATTAAAATATGAACATTGTCACCAGACTTGATGTGCCTGCAGATTGATGAGTGCTCAGGCCCAAAAAATAATAATCAGAGCAATCCCAATTTTGGTCCTTGCTTGCAGCTGTCACTGCCCAATAATCAAAGTAAAAAGATAGGGTCCTTGCACTGTCAGTGATCAGGCTCTAATAATCACAGCAATCCCAAAAGGGTCTTCGCAGCTTTTGCTGCTCAGGCCCAAATGATAATCACAGTCTTTACTGTGACCACCCCAGGGTCATGTCTGACCCCCTGGGACTTAAACAGCAGTCAGAGAGAGAATGCACTTTTTGTTTGCACTATTATTTGTTACACTTTTACACTTTTCTTATACACTTAAAAATTCTAATCAACTTTATTTTTTTAAGTGTCTCACCACTTTAACATACAACGGAGTATTAGGGCCACATTTCAAAAAAAAATTGGGGGAATTAATTACAAGAATAAAGTCGTTATTAAATATGGCGAGAATTAATTACGAGAATAAAGTCGTTATTAAATATGGCGAGAATAAAGTCCAAAAGATTAAGTATCTCCTTGTTTGTGAATCCTATACTAAAGTACAATTCCACGAAATGCCCCACGGCCATCATTATTTAACAACTCTCCTCCTCTAATACAACGGGATAGAATATTTACGACTTTATTCTCTCTTTTCTTTTCTTAACTATGGACTTTTTGGATTTATTTTTTTCTGTAAGAACCTTGCTGTTTGTGGAGTTTGTTAACCCTGCTTCTAGTTTTCCTGTGCTTTTTGGTTTTGTGGATTTTTGCCTCATCTCTGCATCTTGGGTCCTCCTGCTTTAATTAAACTTGACACAGGTCAGTAGGAGTGTCGAGGGAGGACACAGGAAACTCCAGCATGGTACAAACCAACCTCTGCTTCTGCCCTGATCATAAGGCAGCAGCGCTGGTTATTGTACAGTGGCAGACCAAAGTGGAAACCTTGTATGTTTTTACTTATGGTTGCCACTGTTCTTCAACAAAGTGGACTTACTGGCTGGTTCATGTTAACAGGCTTTGCTCCTGCGCCCTGGTGCCAGTGTGCTCGTGCCTGGTATTTCATGTGATCTTCTATATGTTGGTGATTAAAAAAAAAAAAAAAAAGGCATGTGTGAATGTTACGGGATCACCCTGGCCTCCAGCTCCACCGTTAAGAATCCGGGAGTTGTTTTTGGATCAGGATCTGTCTTTTAATATCCATATAAAACACATTTGAAGGACTACTTTCTTCCACTTACGAAACATCGCCAAAATTTGACGCATTGTATCTCATGCGGATGCAGAAAAACTAGTCCACACATTTGCTACTTCAAGGCTGGACTATTGTAACTCTTTGTTATCAGGTTGCTGAAATAAGTCTCTTAGGACTTTGCAGCTAATTCAGAATGCTGCTGCACGTGTTCTAACAGGCACCAAGATCAGACATCATATCTCTCCCATTTTGGCTTCTTTACATTGGCTACCGGTTAAATCCAGAATAGAATTTAAAATTATTCTCCTTACATACAAAGCTCTTCATTGGCAGGCACCATCATATCTAAAAGAGCTCATAGTACCTTACTACCCCTCCAGAACACTACGCTCTCAGTATGCTGAGTTCCTTGTGGTTCCCATAGTCTCCAAAAGTAGATTGGGAGCCAGAGCTTTCAGTTATCAAGCTCCTCTTCTGTGGAACAAACTACCATTTTGGGTTTGGGAGGCAGACACGGTCAACACATTTAAGAGTAGACTTAAGACTTTCCTCTTTGATAGAGCTTATAGTTAGGGCTGGCTCAGGTCATCCCTTAGTTATGCTGCTATAGGATTAGACTGCCGAGGGACCCCCCCCCCCCCTCTCTCTATTACCATCACCATCTGTAAACATACACATATGTCTCATTAATGCATGTTAATGCATGTTACTAACTAAACTTCTTCCCCGTAGTTTCTGTGCTCTCTCGTCCAGCAGATTCTCATGGATCATGGCTGCTCCCGGTCATGGATCATGGTTGCCACTACTGCCATGGCCCTGCCTGACACCCCGAACTGCTGGATGTGGGCCCTCTAGCCCCTTATATTCCCTACTTTGTGAAGAGTAGGGAATATAAGGGTCAAGAATAAGTGGGACCATATTTCCTGTTAATCACAGGATCAATTGAAATTTTTATTGTTAACTTTTAAAACTGTTAATGGACTGGCACCACTTTACCCAGGTAAACTCCTTCATATTCAAACTCCAGTTAGAGAGCCACTCAGCTACTCCTGGACTTGCCTAAAACGAGGCTCATTACCAGAGGTGATTGAGCCTCAGCAAGAGCAGAGTTATGGAACAGCTTACCACTCCATATGAGACCTGCCCCCTCTCTAGCACATTTTAAATCATTATGAAAAACACATCTTTTCTCCTTGGCCTTTTTTTTCTAGTTGCAAATGTTTTTGTCCCAGCAGACTTTATTTGATTCTATTTTCTTTTATCTTATTTAATTGTCACTGTTGGTATTTTGATGTATTGCCTGTTGCTGTCTTCTTGTTGTACCTTTAACTTTGTGAAGCGCTTTGGTCAACCAAGTTTTTTTAAATGTGCTATATAAATAAAATAATTTAAAAATAAATAAAAAGCCCTAGCCACAGATTTAATCCAGCAGATACCTGTTATATAGTACCATAAAACAGATGAATTGCAATTCAAATTTTTTAAACAGATTTGTGGAGAATTTGTTATGATTGCACAAGGCCAAACTAGCTGTTTAACTTACACGTATTTTCATTTTAAAGGTTCAGTGTGTAGAATTTAGAGGTGAAGTTGCATGTTGTAGCTGAATACCCGTCACCTTACCCTCCCCTTCAAAACATGAAAAACACCCTTGGAAGCCTTCAATTTGGTGTTTGGATGACTGTAAAAACATGGCGGACTCCGTAGAGAGGACCCACTCATGATGTAAATATAAACTATTTAAATATAAAGGGCCCCATTTTAGGGTAAAGAAACAATTTGTTCAGTTAGATGATTATACATCATTATTACTATTAAATCTTACACACTGGACCTTTAAAGCTAACCTGACCCAGTTTGTTACAGGCTGTGTGTTGCATACTCACGGCTTCAGTGTGGACAGGGTGCACAGCAAAGAGGAGTGCTGTGATGAAAGCCAAACTTGAGTCTTCAAACACACAGCTTTTGCATGTGTGCATGAGCAGGCAGGTTACAGCACAGTGGAAACACACATTGACCATATGGAAATACAGAGGTGTCATTCCGCCCAACAGGATGTTCAACCTGACAGACAAGAGAAAGAAATATTCAGCACTGTGGGATGAGACAACAGACTGTGTAAAAGTGATTTAGTCATTTTAAAAGAGTACAGTCAGTTTCAGCCATTTTCCAATATATCCTTGTACACATGTGTAGACAAAGACGTATCAACCTCATCTAAACAATCATCGAGCAATCCAGTAGCTGTGGCTCAGGACTAGAGTGGGTTGTCCACTAACCAGAGATTGTGTGTTGAGTGTCCTTGGACAAGATACTCAACCCCAAATTACCCCTAGCATTTGGCAGTAAATGAATGATGTATGCTAGAGAAAGACAGAGAAACTGTTGGACATGGGTGCACTATATGAATGTGTGTGAATAGGTGAATAGCAAAACTGAACTGGGAAGCATTATGAGTGGCCATAAAGACTGGAAAAGTGCTATATAAATACAGACCATTTACCATTTCCTGGATGAAGTGAGTCTATGTGGTTGATGCGCTCACCTGGTAAGTAGAGGCCACAGAGTGTATTTCAAATGAAAAGAGCATTTGTCATGATCTCCACTTCTCCTCCAGTCTCTCTCTGTGTCCCAACCCACCTTGTCTTTTTGTGTGTGTATACGTGTGTGTGTGTGTGGATGTGGCTTCCTGCTCCTGAGCTCTGGCAGCTGGCACACCTGATGCTCATCATCAAATAACCTCCTGCAGTACTTAAACCCTGTCTTCTCCTTCAAGTCTTCGCCAGATCATTCCGTCGCTTTACCCTAACCCATGGTGGTAGCTACATCTGACATTAGCTCTATGTTATCTTGCCTGTGCTCATACCTAACTTCTTGTTTCCTTGTGTTCAGAACCATCCCAGCCTGCCAGCTTCTGATCAACACTACCTGCTTACCTTTCCGCCGCCAGCCATCTTCACTATTCCCCTCTCTTGACTTCTGAAGCCACTGGATCCCTCACTGCCACTCCACCACATTTCTGCCTGCCTCCCTGTGAATCCCACCATTTCAATAATCTATTAAACTGTATTGTCAAGTTTGTCCTGCATTCTGGATCCATTCCGGCGCTAGATATGATGCCGGGGATGTCAGAGGCTGTGTGTGTTCACCTATGCCGTGGATCAAGCCAAGTTATCCTATGTGGTGGGTTTGTTAAGAGGAATAAACTACATATCCTTTTGACTTTTTGGAAGAGCTAAAGTTTTTGATCCTCCTATGTAAGCTGGGAATGCAGCTAAGTGGCTGCTGATCGGGGCCAGAAAAGTGTGGAAGATTACTCTGTGGAGTTATGGATTCTCACAGTAAAGTGGAATGGGTGGAGTGCCGAAGCTCTAAGAGGTTTTTTTTTTGAATGGTTTGTGTAAACCTATGAAAGATGTACTCGCTCTACGCTACAAGTGTAAATCTGTCCTTAAAGATTGACCGCCTGTAGGAGAGATGCCGGGAGAGAAAACAAACACTCCAGCTCTCTGTGAATCTCCAATTCTTGCATCCAACTCTCGTGAGAGCGGCTTGTAATTCTTTGCCTGTTCCCAGTGTTTCTTCCGTCTCTGCCCATCAGACAGAGGAACTGATGCAGCTACGCCAAACTAATCTTAAACCAGTTGAAAGCCACAGGCGGTTGAGCGCATTTATTTCGGCCAGTTCCTGCTGTGTGCCGCTTTCCCCCAGCCAGTAGCTGTGGGGATTCGGGTGGGCAAATCTAACGCACCCTTAAATGCCTCATCCCGAATTGAAATTCAAGCCTCTCTCTGTCCTTCTTAGCCCTAGTGAAATCTTGCGCAGAACATAGGTTTTTGGACGTTAATGTCATATCAAAGGCTACCATTCCCTCAGTTTCTCTGCACTCACCTATAACAGTTCGTGCTCTTGATGGAAAGTTTCTGGCTCGGGTCACTGACCAGACATAACCTCTTCTCCTCATCCTTTCTGGTAATCACCAAGGGCCTGATCTACTAAGATCACAAATAAAGAGTACTAAATTGCGTGTGCATCATAACAGATTGCACGTTTGGTTGGTTGGCGTTTTGCAGCTGATCTACTAAAAATAATTGCACAAAGAGAACAGGTCCAAACATGGTAGAGGTAGTGGTTTTTAAATGAGTGTGTTGCCTGCGCAACTAGTGTTTTCCATGGAGCATTACGGAGAGCAGAGTGACCGCAAGCGCAAAGCAAAAGTTAATGCCATGGAATTGGAGGTGTTAGTGGAAGAACAAACATGTTTTTGAGCTACAGCAAAGAAATATTAATATAACTCACAGAAACGCATTATGGAAGAGTATCTACAAGAAAGTAAATGTTGTGAGTAAAACCGGTGAAATTAAGAGAAGATGGCAGGACATAAGAACAACAAAAGAAAAAACTGCTCATAATTAAACCTCAACAAATAAAATAGGTTAGGGGCCTGTGGAAGAGATGCCTCTGACCAATATTGAGCAGCAGATGCAGATCACTCAGTGGCACGAACGCTCAGGTGTGACACGGGCCACTGTAGTTCACATGGACAGAAAAAAAGTCAGAACATTAACTAAAGAGCAGCCAAAACAGCTATATTTCACCAAAAATAGTCCCATGATCCTTTGCAATATGCTGTCCAATCAGAGTGACCGTCTCACTGATCGCTACAATACTTCATCTAAACTGCTAACTTGTAATATCGCAATAACAACATCAGAACCACAATTTTGCCTTCATTAACATCCCTGAGTAATAACATAAAAACAGGCTGCAGGCTGGGATGGTTCTGAACACAAGGAAACAAGAAGTTAGGTACAAGCACAGGCAAGGTAACATAGAGCTTATGTCAGACATAGCTACCACTGTGGGTTAGACTTAGGGTTAGTGGACAGAACAATCTGGTGAGGAATGGAAGCAAAGCCGGGGTTGAAGTACTGCAGGAGGTGATTAGGTGATGAGCATCAGGTATGCCAGCTGCCAGAGCTCAGGAGCAGAAGCCACATCCACACACACACACACACACAC